AGAATTGGGATGACGTGTAGGGACCGGAAATTGATGTCTGATGATGACCACTTTCGGTTAGAGAAAAACAGGGAAATACTATCAAATACTACACAATATGGGTATTTTTGGAATCGAGATGACGTGTGGGGATCGAAAATCAATGTTTGATGCCATTTTGAAATCCAAGATGCCGACTTCCGGTTAGAGAAAAACTGGGAAATACTGTTAATACCCCACAATATGGGTATTTTTGAAATCGGAATGACGTGTAGGAACCGGAAATCAATGTTTGATGCCATTTTGAAATCCAAGATGGCGACATCCGGGTAGAGTAAAACTGGGAAATACTGTCAAATACCCCACAATATGGGTATTTTTGGAATCGGGATGACGTGTGGGGATCGGAAATAAATGCCTGACGCCATTTTGAAATCCAAGATGGTGGCTTGTATTATTTTTGAGCAATTTAGGTGTATGGGTCGTGAGCAGATGGACAAAGAAAGAAACTGAATATGTTATTCGCGTAAGTACATGGTGTATTATTTCTGAGCTATAATTTTATTGCAGCGAATGTTCAATATATTAAGTTTTCTATAAAAACAAGAAAATATGTAACAGCGTAAAGTTGTCATACTCAAATAGGAGGAGCTCTGCATAGCTTTTTGGTACTTGGGCTTCAAGAAGGCTAGATGATGTTGTGTTCCCATTGCCACATTCTCCCATATAAACAAAAAATAAAATAAAGCAAAATAAAGTTAAAATAAGCTATAACTTTGCAATGCATTATTGTAGAGACTAACGGTCTTCTACAAATACATGTGTTTTTACTGTTTTAAGATTATTTAGAACATTATATACTTCAAATATAAAAGAGTAAAAAACTATGTATGAAAAACCTAAAAAAAAGTGAAAAATATATGAAAAACCATAAATAATAAGGTTATTGTACTCAAATTTGGGAAGAGAGCGACAAATGAAACCTTCTCAACTTTATAGTACTTGAGCTAAGCTTCAAGAAAAAAAAGTTGGATTTGTGTCCTCACTTGCCCCATTCTCTCCTAAAAGCTTATGAAGTAATGGAAAAATAAAGATAAAAGTTGTTATAACTTTACAAGGAGTAATTGTAATGATTCATGATATTGAGGATTTGTTTTGATTGTTTGAATAATTGTCTAGAACATTGTATACTTAAAAAATGAAATTTAAAGAAGTTAAGTATGAAAAACTAAAATTAAGGGAACTTCCATAGAAAAGCTCCATAACTCTGAAAATAAAGGATTTAAAATTTTGACGTCTTGAGTGAAGTTGCTTGTTTTTACATTGTCTACAACTTTGCTGAAGACATCGTTCTCCTATATCCTCAAAGAAAAAAGTTAGTGCTTTTATTTTTTGTATAGTAAGACATGACTAATTTTTGGCAGTATTACATTATGTAAGATATTTATACAAACATTTTTTTCCGAAGACACTATATGGCTAAATTGTAAAGGCTAGGCTCTAGGAATAAAGTTCCACTTCTTGCCGTTTTGGACCATAGTGCATGGGTGTAGATGTGGGTGAACGAACTTTTCTCCGCCGACAACTGGAATCCGGCACCAGATGCCGAACGATGCACAAACTTAACGGCCTGTGACAGTTCCGTCCGGAGGATTTTGATAGAATTCCTGACGGCGTAGAAGAAAATAAAAATACCTACTGGGAGATTGCAGAATACACCAAATAAGATAACCTCCAGTACTGATCCCTGAGGTACGCCGATTTCCTCTTGGAATGAAGTAGATGGATGGTTCCCGATAGAGCCTTGGAAGGTGCGGTGCCGCAAGAAGTTCCGAGCGAAATGAAGAATATCCCTAGCAACACACTTGTTACTGAACAATTGTGGTTACTTGACCGCAGTGTTGGAAAAATCAGAAATCAATTGATATTTTTCCAGCTCTCATGCGCTCGCAATATCACGCGTGATATTGGAACAAAATTATCATGCTTGATATTGATTTTACAAGCTCCTTTGATATTGCGAGACTATTCACAACGTGCAAAAATCACGCTGAGAGTTGACTCGACACAAAAATGATTCCGCTGCACATCGTTTTCTTAGAAAGAGAAAGTTTGCTATCTCTTTTTACTCTTCACCGATGGCACACACGAAGGGACTGCTGCAAGCCTTTATGGAAGTTTCGGTTGCATTCGGGTGTAAAACAAAAATCATGAAACTCAATCTCACCACAGTTTGTTGAGATTTGCAGCTGGTGAGTTTTGTTAGCTTGATATTCCGAGCTGCGATATCACAGCTTGCAAAATCAACCGCAGTTGTTTGCTTGTTGATTTTTGTCTACGAAAATCAAGCGTTGGTCAGATTTGATTTTTTGATATTTTCCCAACACTGCTTGTGCGCAACTTATTTCAGTTGCAGTTGCAACAACTTATAACGATGGAAGTGTGCTGCTTGGGATGTCCCTTGAGTCCCCAGTCAACAAGCTGTTGGAGAACCGCCGGCATCCACGTGCCGGTATAAGCTTTAGAGATGTATAGTGCAGCTATCTCGAAGTGTTGATCACCCGCCATAGCGTCATGGAGGGCTTGCCCAAGCGTACCAAAATACATATTCGTCCTGCGTCTGGGTCGAAACATATGCTGCAGGTGATCTAACAAGCTGTGCTCATTGAAGAAGCTGCAGAGACGACGATTGAACATCCTCTCCATAACCTTGGAGAGGCAGCACGTAAGAGAAATTTACACTAAATCCAGCGTTAACTACATGTGTACTATTTTTCGCAGAACTTCAAATGAATTTTTCAAATGGTGCAGTAGTGCTGAGACCTTCTTAGATGTCAAGGACGAATTGCCAGAAAAATAAGAGAACTTCGTAGCAACCCAAAGAACTTCTTAAAAGTAAAGGAACTGTTGTGGAATGTCAAGGAACTTCATAGATCTTCAAGAAACATCGTAAAACTTTCGAAAACTTCGTATACATTCAATCGTTGTAGAATGATGTTGCCAACTTGATTTGATCAGTCGCATGCACCAATGTGGTCCCTTCATTCGACGACACCCAGCCTCAATATTCGACATCCGATAATAGTTGAGAATTCAACACGTCATGCCCTCATCTGACAAATATCGCGTGCCAGACATAACCTGCCCCGGAGAGCGATATTGAACCAGGTTCAAAAGTCTAACCAACGTACGTATTCATCGTGGTGGGCGTCGGTTGGAACGGAATCAACAACCACCACTCATCGCTCACGAGGCATTTGAAGTGGGCAACCGGTCAAGTCATCCTCGTCGTCGTTGTGGTTCACAAAAACATCTCAACTCCCCACCACCCATTAGAATCGCGTTATAAATCTCACATCGGACACTTTTCCGATAGCAGTTCTCGAATGTGTTCATAAACGAGCTCTCGACAAACATCAAACTCGGTGCCAGGGCGTTTGTGACGAACAAGAGTCACTCGGAATGCCATCAACATCCATCATGCTTGTCGTCCGTGGGTTGTGTCATAGGGGCGTCACGGGCGGCGGTGTGAAGAAGCATCAGGTCTTCCTGTTCAAACATCCCTTTAATGCAGATAGCTGAACCCAACCGACATACATCATCAGCAGCCAATCGGGTGTGCCATTCCCGGAGGACCCCGATAGGGTGGGTTCCCAGCTCATGGAGATAAGTTGACGGATAGCAAATGAATGTCACTCGGTTCGGACCTAACGAGCGATGGACACTGACGGACGGGACAGGCGAAGTGACGCAGTTCGTTTGATCAACAGAAGAACCTTGGAATTCCGCTCGGACCGACCGGAAGTACCTTCCTGCCTCTAGAATTGCACTGCAGCGGACGAGGGTGGAAAACATACACTCTCCCCTTTGTCAAACACGCTTTGATGATGGTGAAATGTGTGAAAAATGCTCATCTCTCTGACTGATCTGGATGCTGCAGTCTGCTGGTCCCGCACCCGGGAGTGTAATAATAGAGTTGGCCGGGGAGGAGTCCCTATATAGCACCCTTCAGTAAGCTTTCGGCTCGGAGCGGTCAGCAGGAAGGGAGTAAAAGTTGATACCGTCGTCGTCGTCGTCGGTGTCGTTACTGCATCGAACGAGAGACGTGTCCTCTGCAGTATGCTAGTCGGTGATGATTGTCATTAAAAGCTTGCCATTTGACACCGGATTTTGCTCTGATGCAAGGATTTAGATGAGTTGTCTGAGAAGATACCGTAGTTTCTTATATGCTGCAATGTTCAAAGAATGTTTTGCCAAATAAAAAATTAAATAAGTTGCAATTTTTCGAAAAAAGTAACTTTTTCCACAATCCCGGAGCATCCTCAAACTCATCCATCCCAAATCAGCGCTGCCGTACGCAGATTTCCCATTCTATGGAGACGAATGATGCTGATGACACGAGAGCTACGATGGCCTTCATCCATGTTTTTTTCCCTCCCGTACGTTGCGTCAGTCGGCGGGCAAGAGGTTCGAGAAAATGTAGATAAATTCCATTAAATTATCATATTCTGCTCGTCATCAGCATAAGCTATTAAAGTCTTGTCCCTTCAGGTTGCTTCCCTCCGCACTTCAGCTTTCCTTAGTGGCTAGGAAATTGGTCCATAGTCTTACGCGGCAATCTCGTAGTCGTAGCCGTAGTAGGTTCATAGAACCTTTCTCCTCGAGCGAGGGAGTAGACAGCAGGCGATAAAACCATGCCCGTTATAATGGCCCTGGGTGAGAAAAGTTGTCTTTGTGGGGGTGCGACGATGGCGGCGGCGGCGGCGATGATGATGGGTCGTATGGATGGAGACTGCATCTCGTTGATGTCTCGTCGTCAATATGAAGGACTTCTTTCTGGGAGGAAGCCTTGAATTAGGGGATGATGTGTTCTCTTCTTGGCTGTTAAATTCTCGAATGGAAAATTCGAGTGCTTCTCGTCGGGAACGTGATTAAGGGTGACAAGTATTCAAGGAAATTTAACTGGTGTGATGTTGAACGGTGCATATTAAAATGGGAGTGTTGTTTTTGTGATGACGTACCTGATTAGAATCGTTGATTTCCTGTAAAGATAAAAAAAAGATCTAAGTTAGAGAATTAAATTACTACTGGCCTATTATTGTTCTTTGAGCACTTCCTCAGTAATTAGTGAAGAGCTATCCGAGGATATGAAAATTTGTCTCTAGTACATTGTGAGGTAAACACACTGCTACGGTTGAATCAGAAATCCAAGCCGCCAACTGTACCATGGTTTGTTTTATAACAACCAGAACCGTACTCAGGTTGTTTGTTCAGGTGGAAATTTCTCAGTTTAGTGCCCTTCTCTCAGAAGATGCCAAATTATCATTTTTATACGTGTTTTCCCTGACAGGTAGTGGTAGTTATTCAGTCCAGGGATGGTAGGTGTATTTAAAAATAATGTTTTCAATTATATCGACGAGATATCTTCACCACTAATTTTAAAATTTGCCGGCCGGGGAAGGTGTTCAATATTTCAGATTTATAAATCTAAGTCTTCCCTGAAGTTCAGAAACCTTCGGAAAAGTTAAATCTAGGGTGATCAGCAAACTGTGAAAACCTGGAAATAGCCGAGAATTTGAAAAGTAGCCGGGAGAACCGGGAAAAAGTCATTAAACCTTAACATATTCCAACAAACATTGAAAGTTGAATAAGAGCTTGAGCTTATTCAAGCAAAAATATGCATCTTCAGCTAAAAAGGTGCTTATTCAGCTCTCAGTTGTCTTAAACCATTGCAATTATTTTCAAAATTGGATTTGATCATACACAAAACTCCCAGCAGAATACCTTTAAATTCTCTTCTGAATTTGGTTGACAGTTTTTCAAGAATTTAAATTTAAATTCTCCAGCATTTTTTAATTAACATTAGAATACAATTCCTTTGGTATTTTCCTTAAAGCTCTCTTCTGAATCTCTCTCAGTATTTCTTTGAAATTGTCTTTTGTAAATCCTTTAAGTCCAGTTCATATTTCTTTTGAAATGATCCTTAAAATTCACCTACTATTCTTCTCAAAATCCCCTCCAAATTCTCCTTACAACTCGCTTGTAATTCTTCTAGAAATTTTTCAGAACTTAATTTCAGCAATAATTTGAAATTATTGTCAGAATTCCGTTGATTTTTTCTCACAGGTCATCTCAAAATCTGGTAAAAATAATGCATCATCTCTTTGAAATTTGCAAAATTCTATTAAAAAAAAACTTCTAATTATTAGAACGCCATACATTTTTCCAAGCCTTTTGCTTTTCATAGGGACCATATTGACGTAGGACTACGTCTGTGATTTCTATATGGAGGTACACTTTGTGAAAACCAAAAATGGAACATTTAACGAAATTATGAAAGATTTTGAACGTTAATAACTCAGCTGCCCCCGGACCAATTATTTTATCACGAATCGATCAGAAATATTGCTATGCATCTGTGAAATTTGAGAGTTTATCATTTTTCAAAATATCACTTTTGAAAACTGCACGAATGTGCAACTGCTGCTTATCACCGATTGCCTGCGAAAAGCGATTTCCCTAACACAGATTTCAAAGTTGAATTCCATGCGGTCTCACCAAACGGTGTTTATTCAATCACCGCGTGGTGAGTGATGTTCTCCAGTACACAACGAAATGCTCCCCGCAAGCAGCTAGCTATCAAGACTGCCCACAACCGCTGTTCGGTTGTTCCAATCACCGTGTGTGGTGGTGTCCGATCGTCGGCATCAGCAGCAGCAGCAGCAGTGCTCTCGGCGCGTGGCGTTGAACATTGTTCTCCCGTACACATCGAAAGCCTGCCTGCAAGCAGCGAGCTGCAGCCCACGTGAGCATCCATAGAAAGAGGAAAAAGCCGCACCGCTATTGATCGGAATTAGTAGCTCTTCGTGAGTCGAACGTTAATAACTCAGCTGCCCCCTGACCAATTTCAATAATTTTATCGCCAATCGATCAGAAATATTCCTACGCATCTGCCTAATTTAAGAGTTTATAATTTTTCAAAATATCACTATTGAAAACTGCACGAATGTGCAGCTGTTGCTATGATAATTAAAATTATCACCGATTGCCTGCAAAAAGCGATTTCCCTAACACAGATTTCAAAGTTGAATTCCATCCGGTGTCGCCACAACGAAAGGCTGCCTGTAAGCAGCAAGCTGCAGCCCACATGAGCATCTATAGAAGGAAGAAGAAGCCGCACTGCTATTGATCGGAATCAGTAGCTCTTCGTGAGTCGCTGTGGGACATCTATGCCAAGCGCGTCATAGTAAATAGTATAAACAGAGAGAACCCCGTTGAAATTCCTATTGCTACTCAAAACACAAGCTCCTACTGCAGTTAACAAATAAGATGTATTATATAAGACCACGTAGTCCTACGTCACCATTGCGTACAACCCCATAGGGCTGTCCCTTGTAGTTTTCTTTCAAAATCTGGGATCTTGGATTTTTTTTTCGAAATCGGGTATGTAGGATTTTTTTTTTAAATCCTACCCTTTGTTTTTTTTTTTTTTCAAAGTCCCATAATGTTGAAAAAATCCAATCCTTTTTTCTCTAAATCCAGGATAGATTTTTAGAAGCCGCAAATCTAAAAAAAATCACAGCTACTACAAATGTCTAAACCTTAGAATCCTAGAAATTTTCTTAAATTTTATTTTAAAGGTTTCTGCTTGTACAGATCACGTTGCGTTAAAACATGTTCGGCAATACGATCTTTGAAAAATCCTTGACTCTGGTACTTTGTAAATTTGGACCCTTTTTAAATCCCGAATTCCCGAGTCTTCAAAAGTTACACACACTTAAGTATTTTTTTTTCGCACCCCCGTGTACCGTGTAAGAAAATCCATGTTAAACAAACCGCGTTATTCAAAAATTCTTCGTAAGAAAAAATCCTTTTTTCAAAAATCTTTGTAAATGAACATCTGAGCTTTATTACCACCACCTTCATGGTATTGACTTTCTGATCAACTTTATTCAAGCATTAGTAACCTTCTAACCTGCAGGTGCTAAATTTCGTTATTTCGACTCATTTCCCTTAGAAAACACTCAGAAGTTGTTGGCTCTTTAACCACGTTTTTTTCTCAAAAATCGTCGTAGTTGATTTCAAAAATTATCGTAAAAAACCGTGTAAAAATAGACTACAGTGTATTCAAATTAGCTCTAATGTACCTCGAAAATAACGAAGTATTGCAAAGCGAGAAAACAACGGGAATTTTCAAATGAGAATTCCCTGACCACTCTGATTAAGAGGAACATCATTTGACTAGAAGCTTAGAGAACTTCTTAAAAATAAAAGAAACGTTGTAGAATTTCAAGGAAGTTCATAGATTTTCAAGAAACATCGTAGAACTTTCGAAGATTCCGTTAACAGTCATAGCACACAGTAGAAGTTTTGGAAACTTTCGAGCTTAGTTAATTGCAAGCAACTTTGTCGAAAAAAATTTTTTTTCTATCTCTTAACGTTCTCATTTTAGAGTATTTAGAGTTGACTTAGGGTGTTCCTGGAAAAAATAGTTTTTTAGCAATAACTTTTTTATTTGAAATTTCTCATGAAAGTTATCGAGTAGAGAATTTTAAAACTCTTTTAGACGAATGTTTTATACCTGAATTGGTTGCCTGTATCTCTTCTAATAAAAAAGATATACCCAAATATAGTAAAAAATATGACTAAATTCAAATTGATTTTATACGAGTTTAAAAAATAACATACCTCCAATTTTGTCATAATATTGAGAATTACATACGCCCTTTCAAATGCCGTAAAAAACCTTTTTTTTTGTTTGCCCTAACCAGAGATATTAACATTTTAAAAGTGCATACTTTTAGTATAAAAACGTCAATAACTCTTGATCGGCGAAAGATATTGACAAGCTTTGTGCAGCAAAAACTTGCGCCTTTTGAAGATCTAAAAGTTATCTGAAGACACATTTGCTGAGAAATTTGAAATAAGAAAACTAGAGCAAAAAAACTGTTTTTTTAAGAGCCACCCTAACTCAATTTAAGAAAATAGCTCTAAATCGGCCAATTTAAGAGATACAAAAAAGTTATCTCCAACAAAGTTGCTTGAAATTTGCTCAGCTATAACTTTGCCGAAGAATGTATACCTTAATTTATTCAAACAAAAAAGTTAGATTTTTGATTTTAATGATAATAGGAACCACCCTAGAATTCATTGTCATAAAAATGAGGGCCTAACTATAAGGAATAACTTTGTAGAAGAAACTTTTAGTCTAAAGTTTCAGTTTCAGGCTCAAAACATATCATTCCACCTAAATCTGCATTCTGGACCACTGTGCACTGGGATTATTTTAAACTTCTTTGGACTTTTTAGATGTTCAGGGGGATTCGGGAAACTTGGCAGAGTTTCAGAGAATTTTGAAGAAATTCAGGGTGCTTTGTAAAAATTTGAGAAAACTTCGTAGGATTATGAACCTTATACATATTTGGGAAACTTCGTTGAACTTATGGGAACTTTGTTTAATTTTAAGAAACTTAATAAAAGGGCACTCCGTTAAAGTTTAATGGACTTAAAATAGATCTTCAGAGGAAATAAAACAAATTCTAAACGAGAACTTTTCAGCAGTTCAGTGATATTTATGTGAATTCCGAGAACTTCGTAGAAGTCAAGCGAATTAGGTAGCTATTTGAGGAACTTGGAAAAATATCATAAAAGTGCTGGGATTTTTTTTTATTCAAGGAACATTGTAGAATTTTACAAAATTGCAGAAGTTCAGCGCCCTTCATAAAAGTTCAGGAAATTTCTTAGAACCTCGGGGAGTGTTGTAAAAGTTTAGAATACTTCTTAGAACTTCAGGGTTTGATTTGAGAGCTGGTAGTTTTGGGAACTTTGTTTCGCCTAGATGTTTAGGAAAATTCGTAGAAAAGGTTTAAGGTCTTCCTGAAGTTTGGAGAAGGTTATGAATGTCTTAAGATCTTGGTCGAATAGAGAGAACTTGAAATAAAAATAATCATGGAACTTGAAATTTTCAAGAAATAAAGATAAGGGAACTTTTTAGATGCCCAAGGAACATTGAAACAATTCTTCCACCTATTTGGAACCTGTG